GAGACTAAATATTTAAGAACATATTATCATGAAAGAGAGTATATGAATATGCATGGTAGAATATCATCATATTTATTTTTTGGTAAATTAGTGTAGTTTGATTTTCTTTCTTAATCAAGTTTTGAGTACTATTTTTCATCATGTTAGAGGATTGATTTTGCAAATCTAAATTTATATAAAAAAATTCCTTGAGCTTCGTCCATTATTTCTTTCACTACCAGAAGACAATCAACATTGAAAACAAAACGATTTTTGTCACCGTTGCAACAAACTACTTGTCATTCGTCTCAGAAAAATGTCAACGTAACCTGTGGATGTCAAGAATTAGATCTTGAAAAACCGTCAGCAAAGTTCAACAACAGTAAAATTTGACTTAGACACAAATTGAGAAACATATGCTTTGAACCGAAATTTGCTCTGATCTCAATTGTTAGTGCAAAACATACAAGATCAAGTGATAATAAACAAACCAAGATGTAACGTGGTTCACACTCCAAAGTGCCTACGACCATGGGGAAGCTCATGCATGATAGTATATTAAGTGTGTTGTAATACAACAAAGCTAGGAAAAGTTAGCTGCTTTATTTTAAAGCTAACCTCCTAGCTATTTTAGCTAAGACCTGAGATTACTCCTTAACCCAAATTAATCTCAACATGAGTCTTGACTGCCTAGTTGCCACGTCCGATTGTCGTCTCAATCTTCAAACCAACCATTGTCTTGGACTTTGAGCTCTCTTTCAACCCTCCAACTCTGCTCTTGTACTCAAAACCTTGAAATATAATTAGCATAAACTGAGTGATAACCAACCACTTCCTTTAATAATCATTATGATAAGATATACTCATTAGACCTGAATTTTTGGGTCGAAATCAATCTTTATGATTGCAATTAATTTCTATAAAATATATTACATGGCAAGATATCTTGGACTATTTCATCTTCTTTCATCTTGAATTAAAGTAATGACATATCATTGTGTACTTGAAAATTCTAGAATCTCAATGTTTCCACTAAGTCAAATGTTAAACTTAGTCTAATTAATGAAAATTTTATCATTGAATTAAACCAATCAAATTTAATATGTAGTAAAAAACTTCATCCATTGAAATTGAAACTTTGATAAAACACAAAATAGTAATGTTTTGTAATATATTTTAGTTAGTTGAAACTTAATCAGAGGTTTTTCAAAATGGAGACAAACTTACATTATAGTGGATTATCTAGAGTTAGCAAGTCTACAGTAAGTGTGATTGATATGTAAAGAATACATTTGTTAGTTGAAATTGATATGTTAGCAATCCGTTTGTTTGTTAGATAAATCTTGCTTAAAGCTAATCAATTACAAATATCTATTGTAGCTTTGGTGGCTTCTGATAATCCAAACAGATCACATAAATTAATAATTTATCACGTAGTGGCATTTGCACGTAATACCTTTTGCTAAGAACTCGTGTAATTGTTATACAGTCTTGGAGTCAAAAAACCATTTTTTAACTCGTTCTCCAAAAAAGCTTCAAGACATTAGATTATAGTCCAGCACATGTCTGGCAGTACCATAAGCGAATCTAAGGGGAATGTGTGAATTGAGAGAGATAAGTGAATAATCTGTGTGTTTGTTAGAATTATCTGTAATGTCATCAATCAAGTTATAGTGAAATAGATTGTAAGGTTAAAATCTAACCCTATGTACTTGTTAAGAAAGAGTAAAATCATTCTAGGTTTGTCTTATATTCAGTATGAGTGAAATACTTTATTGATCCCTAGTGTTACATGCTCATCCAAAGTTTCTAAAAGTAATTCAATTATATGTCATGTATAGATTTCATAAATAAATCTTGTTATAACTAAATTTATAATCAATTCTTTGATTAAATCTATAACTAATATACTTATAGAGTACGGGTTTTATATTTCTTTTAGATTCTGATTGTCCAGAGTATAAAATGAAGCATAATATACATTGATACATAATATCCTCTCCAATCTTCAGTAAACTAACTCACATTCAATAATTCTTTGAAATAATTGTTTACCTATGTATTGATACAAGTCAAACTTATTGAAATTTCAATTTTAATTTCTTCAAGCAAATTTAGTTGAAAATTTTCATTCTCTAATACAAAATGATACTTGATGATTTTTTGGTTTTTATATTTCTATACTCGAATTTTTCAACTCAGTTGATTTAATTGATATTTCAAGATAATTCACAAATGTAAAAATTTCATTGATGAATCAAATCTTCACACAAACATCTATTCAAATTTGCTTAAAATTATCTTCTCTAATTCTTTATATATATCACTTCAAAATATACCATGATAATATATTATTACTACTATCTAGTTTATATAATTTTAGTTTCAATCTTGCTAGGTTTGAATAATTTCATGAAAAAATGATATAGAAACATATAATTTGTCTATTGAGATAATATATACAAAAATATTTATCTATGAATTGATCCTGAAACATGACATTTAGACATATGAATATTCTAGAATTTCATCTTGTCATCAAATCAAACTCTAGATCTAGTAAATCCGATAAAAATTATATTAGTTTGTCAAATCAATAAAAGTAAGCATATATTCATTATATTATTGCGTTGAAATCTAAACCTTGACAAAGACAAATAATGATGATCAATTTTTACCTACACACGAATGACTCAAAAAATAATATAATGTAAAGTTCAATTTAGTTATAACTAGTTAAATTTAATCATAAATTAAATAATGTCAATTAGTTTTCTAATTAATATTTACACTAATACACTTAATTATGATCTTACAAACCGCAAACATACGGAGTGATTTAACAATAGCTAAGTCAGGGAAATCATTGAGAATTAAGTGCTAAAGTCTATGTTATCTTGGAAACAAACTAAATTTCTTGACTCTGTTTGCAATCTGACTTGGATGTCGATTCACATATAAAAAACTCAATATAAATATTTTGTCAACTTTAAAATTGTTCTCCATTTTCTTCTACTCAATTTAACAAAGATACCACATAAATCCTTATGATAATGATATTTATCTAATGTAAAATATTGTAAAAGATTTGAAAAGTATATGGATGAAGCTGTAGTGTTTATCCAAAGTCCCAAATATAAATGTATGCTATTTTGACATTTATAACAGTGGCTATAACTAACATAAGAGTCATATGTAACATTTATAGAGTTAATTATTATGGACTAACAAAAATGACACACCAACTAACGTTCATAACAACAACATCTATAGATAAACTCATTGTGCCAACATTTATTATGTGTTACGCGCTAACGTTTGTAGACTGCATACCTTGGCACGTTACCGTTTATAAATCGCATCTCAACGTGCGCGCTAACGTTTATGGCGGTAGACCATTCTGAGGACTCATAGAACCTAGAATATAGCAAGCAAACATCCTTAGCTACGCGCGGTGAGGTATTATTGGTTGCAACCGAGAGGCGCAGTTGAGTGGCGGAGAAGTTGGTTTCTTACGCGCAACCGAGTTGGTATACTGTCTATCTTGTTGATTCTGTATCTCGTGCAAGGTGAGTTATTCCAGCACGTAATGAATAACACTACGTGCTGGAATCACTCCGGATGTTCGCGGTAATGTATTCATTACCGCGAACATCCGGAGTGATTTAAGAATAGTTGGTTTGTAGAAATCATTGAGAACTAAATGCTGAAGTCTATGTTATATTGGAAACAAACTAAGTTTCTTGATTTTCCTTGCAATTTGACTTTGGATGTCGATACACGTATACAAAAAACTCAGTATAAATATTCTTTTTCACTTTAAAATTGTTCTCCATTTTCTTTTGCTCAATTTCACAAATATATCTCATCAATCCTTATGACAATGATATCTACCTAATGTAAAATATGGTAGAAGATTTGAAAAGTGTATGGATGAAGCTGTAGCGTTTATCGAAAGTCCCGAATATAAATGTATGCTATTCTAACTTTTATGACAGTGGCTTTATTTGAAACAAGAGCGATAGGTTACATTTATAGAGTAATGATTATGAACTAACAAAAATGACACACTAACGTTCATAACAACAACATTTATAGACTGCGCCGCATATTTTTTTCATGTGTACCGTTAGTGGAAAATAGATTGGCATGCTAATGTTTAGAGATTGTATCACTTGGCGCGCTAACGTTTATAAATCGCACGTCTACGTTTTAACATCTAAATAGTCATCAATTATGTACTACAAAAAATTACACACTAACTTTCATAACAATAACATATATAGGTTGCGCCGCCATTGTTTAGAGTGTAACGTTGGTGGAAGATAGATTGGAGTGTTAACGTTTATAAATTGCATATCAACGGTTCTACCATTTATAAAAGCAGCGATTATGGACTAACAAAAATGACACACTAACATTCATAACAACAACATTTATAGATTGCGCGGCCATTTTTGTATGTCTAACGTTGGTGGAATATAGATTGGCTTGTTAACGTTTAGAGATCGTATCCCGCACGCGGTAGCGTTTATAAATTTCATGTCAACGCTTTTAACATTTATAGAAGTATCAATTATGGACTAACAAAAATGACACACTAACATTCATAACAACAACATTTATAGATTGCTCCGCCATTTTTTGTATGTGTAACGTTAGTGGAAGATAGATTGGCACGTTAACGTTTAGAGATCATATCGCGCGGCGCGGTAACGTTTATAAATTGCATGTCAACGTTGTAACATTTATAGAGGTAACAATTACGGACCACCAAAAGTGACACACTAACATTCGTAACAATAACTTATGTAAATTGCGCCGCCATTTTTTTGGGGTATAACGCTAGTGAAAGAGAGATTGGCGCGCTAACGTTTAGAGATCATATTGGCGCGGCGCGCTAACGTTTATAAATTGCATCTCAACGGGCGATAACGTTTATGGAACCTTCGGTAGACCATTCTGAGGACTCATAGAACCTAGTATATAGCAAGCAAACATCCTTAGCTAGGCACGGTGAGGTAGCATAGGCTGCAACCGAGAGGCGCAGTTGAGTGGCGAAGAAGTTGGTTTCATACGCGCAACCGAGTTGGTATACTGTCTACCTTGTTCATTCCGTACCTCGTCCAAGGTGAGTTATTCCAGCACGTAGTGATTACTGCTTGCGTTGTACAAGTGAAGGGAAGATTCTGAATGCGAGTACGTATGTGTTGGATTCTTGACTGTGATCGTATGTTGTTGCTGCAGAGTTTTACCCTTTGCTTGAATCATGGACCACGTTATCCCAGGCAGAGGCCTCAAAGAGAAGAACGAGAATCTGGAGAAGGCTATCACAAACGGGGTCCTCAAAGAGAAGTACGAGAAACTGGAGAAGGTCGGAGAGGGTCGTTTCGGAGTCGTCTATAAAGCTTTGAATCTGAGGACGAGAGAACTGGTGGCCATGAAGAGTATCAGAATGGAGATGCTCCCAGCCAATGCCGGAATGCCGGTCTTTATCATGAGAGAGCTGTCCATTCTACGAGGATTGAAGCATGCTAACATTGTGCGCTTGTATGAAGTATTCCACAACAAAAATCAGCTCTATCTGGTTTTCGAATACATGGATTGTGACCTCGCCGGTTACATGAGGACGTGCTTCAACCGTCTCACGCCCTTTGTGATCAAAACCTTCATGTATCAGATCCTCCTGGGAGTTCATTACTGTCATCAAAGTAATGTGATGCACCGTGATCTGAAACCGCAGAATCTGTTGATTGATAGGTCTTCCTTGAGATTGAAAATTGCAGATTTTGGTCTTTCTCGACGCTTTCATCTTCCTGGTAATCAGAACACACTGTATGCCTTCAGCCAAGAAGTGGTGACTCTGTGGTATAGAGCTCCCGAGCTTCTTCTTGGTACCACGGTTTACTCGACAAGTATTGATATGTGGTCAGTTGGATGTATATTTGCCGAATTGGCACTCGGACGGCCTTTGTTCCTAGCAATGTCGGAGATCGGGATGATTATGAAGATCTTCCACATCATGGGAACACCAAATGAAACATCATGGCCTGGAGTCAACTCACTGACTGATTTTCATCCACGTTTTCCCAAGTGGAAGGGCCTACGATTGGAGGTAGAATTACCACGTCTAGACCCTGATGCCATTGATCTTCTGTACAGGATGCTAAACATGGATCCGAACTTTCGCATAACAGCTCAGGAAGCACTCAACCATGAGTACTTTTATGATCTTAATGTTGCTGATTTTGCGGACCCGCACGAAGATACTGAAGAGAACGATGGCCTCAGTGGTCATGATAACAACGAAGTCATAGACAGTCCAGATTGCCTTCTGGCAGCCATGAAGAAGCATGTCCATCCTTGATTGAGTACCGTCCCATGATTGATTGAGTACCGCACAATGTACATTACTACTCTGTAGCTCATTGTAGATGGATACAGATTCAGGAGCTCTATAGGTCACCCACATTGTTCTTTCATATTCAGTATTTCATCGTAGATTGATTCAACATCCAGTAGCATTCCAACTCTTGCAAAGTTTGTTCTCCAATTTATGGAGTGACGGTCTAGAGCTTTTGTATATTGAGCCGAAATCTAGGAATATCACTGTGGTGATGTGCTCACTCAGTGTAATATGTATATTTCATTTGTAATTCTCATTCGAAATTTACATATTATTATAAGATTTACACGATCATTTTCCTGTTTATTTCTGATATATTTAAAAGTAATTTGAGAAATCTTTATCTTTGAAAAATTGTGCCGTCTAATAAGATTTATGTAAGATTGAAGTAGAATTTTGTGATATGTTTTCATGGTATATTTCCAGATTAAAATTAAAATAATCATAAATTAATACTAAAATAATCAGTAAAAAATATATTCTAATTTTAACCATTAATGAATTTATTTAGATTTTTTTTAAATCAAAATTTATATTTACCTCAAGAAAGTTGATTTTGGAAAAGATTAAGATACAATTATAGCTATTTGAAAATATTTAAAAATTTTAGTAAAAGATTAGCAATAATTTATTTATGCAAAAATTTTATTCTTCCTACTTTCATCATAGAATGATTAATAATGTTACATGTATTGTGATATTAAAAATCACAACTCACATGTGTTGGAATAAAAATAATATGTGACGTGTTATGCAATTGGTTATTTTTTAACCGTGCGTGTAACCTAATGTAATATCTTAATAATAAAAATGTGATTGGTAGCAAGTGGATATAAAAGTTTAGAGACAATGTAAAGAATAAATATTTTAACCAAAACAAACGACTAGTTTCATATAGCAAAATTTTATCATTTATAGCAAAGTATGATACAACTCAAAAAATGCGTGCATTTACTGCAATGTTTATTTTGATTATGTATATTATGAATATTCTTATGACAAATTTGTGTTAATCTTTGTAATAGAAATCTACATCAAAAAATGCATTGGATTTGAGAAAACATACATGGATAATTTGATTTATAAATTGCTAAAATCATTATGGCAATTGAAGTAAATTTCTAGATAGTGAAATGCAATTTTTGATGAACTCACTGAATCTTAATAACTTTTACGGACTTATTTACTTGATGGTATTCCATCAAAAACTTAATTACATGATGGGATAAATCATTGTTGCGAAGTCCTAAAAAGTGTTCATGTACACATATTATGTGAGTTTTAGTGAAACTATGTGATAGCAATTCGCCACTATCACAAATTAGTCATTTGTCTGTACAATTTTTCAACAGAAATTTATCACTAGATGTCAATTTTGTGTTGTTGGCTTTGCGTCCATCTGTTCTCGCGATTGCGGGTTTCTTGTGATCGCTCGCTGCCTGTCATATTGTTTGTTCTATTGATTAAAAAATCTAGATGATAGAATGAAATTTGTGTTGAAATTTGAAAATCGACAAACTTTGTTGTCGTACAACCTTGAGCTTGATTTGTACTTTATTTTCTGCCGTTGTAGATCATATCACTCTTCAAACGAAGTCAAATTTGTTGAAGCATTTCACAAAATTTTGAAGATGTTGGTGTTAGATCCGACATCATTAAATCTGTTACATCGCGCAGTCATGACCAACCGATTTCACTACTCAATTTTTGACATGTATATGATTTTTTTCCAAACCACCAAAGAATATCATGCAAATACTATTTTGCTCAAAACGCGATTTTAAGCTCTTTCCTGTCAGATTAAGCAAACTTACTGCCTGCACCGTCTGTTGATACTAGAACATATGTGATGTGTATCATCGGTGGAGTCCAATCGAGTAAAACAAAACTTAAAATATTCTAGTAAACAATTTTGATTTTGATGTGATTTCATGAAGTAAATAACTCAACTTTTACGTCATATATGTCTACAAAATATAAACTTCCAATAGTGACACACATTGGTGTTAGAATTGGAATTCACTATTGGAAGTTGACACACTAAAGTAAATTGAGCAATAATTTCACCCCATGCAAAATATTATATAAGAGCAATCTTTGGCTATAATATCGTTTTCATTTGTTATTTCATATAGTTCACAAAGATGAATGTTGATGTTTTTATTACGTTTTGATTATGCATACTTGCACAAAAATTTGAAAAATGAAATCGAGAAAACAATCTATGATATGATCAGTTGCAAAGTATTTTACTAGAAGACTTGAATGAATGAGAGTTTCAAATAGACGATTAAATAAACTTAGGACACATGCTTCTTTCTCATATATACTCTATATTATAATCATGATAGAAATTGATTACTATTTCCATTAATAAAACTCTACCTTCAAAAGTACGATTGGAATCGTCATTATTGTATAATATCATATCATTATTGTGATTAATGATATATTGTTTATTTTTAAGATTTACATGATCTTGAAATTCCATATTACTGATGTAATAACATAAGTGTAAGCTCCTGTAAATAACATACTGTCAGTATGTTATTTATAGGAGCTTACACTATTGGCAAGTTATACTATGTATATACAAAGAAGATGAATTATTAGATTAAAGATTTCAAGATTTTTGTCTCCATGATGACATGTTCATTTTGTCAAAAAATTGATACAAAGTAGACTCAAAAACTAATAATCATGAAAATTTAATCATCTCATGATTAATCAAAAGCACAATGTGAATATTGTAATATTACGATTTATTGAATTTTGAAGCAAGTTGAGTAATATGATAATTGTGATTGATCTTGAAAGAAGTTTGGAAGTTATTTTCAATGCTCAAATTAGTGCATCAAATGATGAAGATCAATTAGATCTTTTCCATTATATTGCATTATTATATACGGAATATAATATTATGCATTGATTTATACATTTTAAATTATTATGATATTGAGATTGCAAATGAGGATGATAATTGATTATGTGTTTGCACATGATGATGAATGCATTATTTGAAAATGTACTTTGTTAAAATGCGTAACTCATTCAACAACAAAAGTTGAATTTGGAACGAAAGTAAAAGTATCAAAATAATCTATTTAATTGAATTGACTTCTCATTGCAATTGAATTTAAACTATCATCAATTTTCATTGTAATGAATACTGATTTTTTCTAAATAAATTGATTCATTATTCCATGAAATTAAATGATATACTTAAGAATAAAAAATATTGCCATCATTCATCACTTTATTGAAATTGCAATTTTTGATAAGAAATGATTTCAAGATAAATTCAATATAGCTAATGCATTGATCAAATTTATTCATTTGTAAAGTTTTAGAAAATATTGTGTTACTTTGTAAATTTATTATAAGTATCACAAGTAGATTTTACTAGTAATTTTTTGTATATACATATATAGGGTATATATATATATATATATATATACAAATAAAATTTCAGCATGTTTTGGCTTAAATCTAGAATATAGCTTTTGTTAGATTTTTGTCAAAAATGCATAGTGATTATATATGTTATGGACTTTATAGTCATCACGACATGAGTTAAGGGAGAAATTATTATGAGATAACTCAATTCTTTATTCAATTCAAGTAGATTAATCCCATTTAGCTAGACTGAAGCTCCTAGAGATTTTACTTTTTCTTTCAAACAAAATTTGAAGTGTTTTTGAGGGAACAGTTCGAGATGATAAACTAGGTATGTGCGTTTGTTAAAGTTTTGTGTTGACTTTGTATAAGGTGCGTTAGACTTTATGCTTAACACTAGATTGTGATTTAGATTACGGAGTATGTTTTCTTATATTCATTGTATTATAAAGCGCTTCAAACTTTGCACTTAAGATAGTTCTAATTAGTGATGATAGTCCTAGATCTGGTGTCATTAAACCTAGTGACAATATGCAAGAAAGAGATCTCATGCTAAGTTGGAGACAAACTAATTTATTATGAGTATTGTCAGCTCACTCCTTTAAGTCCCAGGTTTGATAATTTCTTTTTATGTTCGGCTTCTTTGAAGCTGAGTTGATGGGATTTTATCCTATTGTTAGCATTCCACTTGAAGTCATTGTAGTGTTACTAATTTCTTCTTTCATTTATATGGAGAAGGTTTCGTTGTGTAATATTTTGCCTTATAGGGTTTCGAAAGCATACCAGTTATTAGATTACTTACTCAATTATACAAGGTGCTTTCATTCCGTGAAGGTATCAGAAAATGCTTCCATTGTGTCAAAGGTGTCCAGTAGGCTAGTGTCACTAGAACGGTGAAGGGTTGAGGACGGCTTTACTGGATATAGTCACTGACGGATTGTTTGACAGATCGACCAAGTCTGGTTTATGTATCTCCATACCAACAGTGGTTATTCAGGTTCCGTTACTGTCCGTAGTTGCCAGCTTTATCAGACAGTGAATTGGCCCGACAATCATGATTTGTTTTTGTCCTCCACTTTCCCCTGATCATTTGCTTGCCCTTACTTCTTATACTCAATATGAAGTAAAACAGGTAATCGAATCATCGTGAACTGCCTTATTCTTCCCCCACTTCATTCCACTTTATACAACTTTCACTTCTGCTTTGATTTCTTACAAAATTGGAGCCAAAATCTCAGTGTTCAATCTGGACATTCGTTCTTCAGAAGTTGTGATTACAATTTCTGCCAAGTACAGTGAACTGCAAAAGCAAAAGTTTGCCATTCAGATTACAGTTTATCTTTTTATCTTACCAAGCGCTCAATATTATTTGCAAGTTAATAGTACACCGGCTTGATTAGTTTTCTTCTTTGAGGTTGGAGTAATCTCTCCACCTGCAGTGACTGTACCCCTACTTTGCAATTCGCAATAAGCACATGTTATTGCCCTCAGACGAGATTTACCAAAATAAAGAAGCAGCGTTCTTTTGGCAGTATACTCGTGCTCTTATTGCTTTTTATTTTAGTTTTTTATGGGAGCTATGCCTCCAAGGGGAGGCATAGCTCCCATAGCTTCCCTGACTAGAGGGTCCGTGTATAATAAGGAATATAGCTCAGTTGGTGGAGCCCCGAATTGCGAGGTGCATGAATGTTGGCCCACCACAGAGACAAATCAACTATGCTCTAGTTCCTAGATCTTCCAGAAGTTATTTCCTCGAAGTACGGTACAGTATAGATGTTTTGTTAGTGAATAAGAGATAAAGAGCTCTTAGATTACCTTATTCTACACAGATATTCACTAAAGTGCGCAGGAAACAAACCGTTACTGACAATGCACACTGGCAATGCCGTATACGTGTAATTCGTCTGCCGCTCGCTATATTATAAAAACTGTAAACGATGTGTAGAAAGAAACTCCGATGGATCATCAGAGCCTACTGCACTTCATCTCCTGCCCTTGCTAGAATACCACCCTGCTGTAAATCAAAGAATTAAAAGGTATCAGACAGGGCTCTTGCCGGTGCACAATCCTTAGCTGGTTGTGGGATTCGACTTACTCTGGGGATCCAGAGAAACCGCACAAGTTCCTTGCTTCTATTTGGAGTATCTCTGGTCAGTGAATGAAATAGTTACAAGCACGTCCCTTTTGTATCTACTTTACCGTAATTGAACCCTGTGCACATCTCAAAGTTCACCCAGCAGATGTGCTGAGGAAAACTGAAGTTGCCAGCAGTCTTCAGACCACCATGCATACTCCATGGTTTGACAGATTACAGTACAGGTCTCTTATTCAAGGTCATCTAAAAGAAATTCATCGGCAAAATCATGTTGCCAGTAGACTTCAGAACAGCAAGCCTGCTACACGTGTGTAATGACAAAAATCTGCCACACCTCCCATGATTTGACAATCTGCTTCGCCAAGCGGCGGCGAGCGCGAGGGCTCACTCCGCTCCCTTGATGCTTCTTCAATGATTGTGATCAAGAATTATTGATACTCGAATCTTCGATATTTTGAGCTGGCTCTTGTCAAAGAATCGTCTGTTAGCGGACTTGCTCTCCCTACTATAGCTAACTCTCCCGCTAGATGTGTTCAGATGGCATTATCGTCAATACATCTCGAAAAGATTTGTAATCAAGCCTGTCAGAGTCTACCATAAATATTCACGAGCTCCAACTTCCAGCAACACGCGATTTTTTCAGCAGTTCATGCTGCTAACATTTTCCGCACATGAGAAATCTCTGTGGGCGATTGTCAATCAGTAAAGTCAAAACTCCTCAAGATTCATAGGAAGGCACAGACACAATGAAGAAAACCAGACTTTCAAGTCCACACTGACCAATGTCCCAATCGCACCGACAGGTAACACAAGCGCAACTCAAAGCGACCCCACATGAGTAACAGTTCCAATCTCTCTTTTTTTAACCGATAAAAATATGATACATGGACATTTCCAAGCACTGCCTCCCTGACGCTGGCTTCAGGTTTGCAAGAAGCTCGAGGGGCTTCACAGATACCACAATTCTGTACCTAGAGGAAGAACATAATTACAAGAAGCAAAGAAGATCCGTTTAGAGCCTCCAACATGTATGAAACACATAGCTCGATGAGTACCAAAGCTATACAAAGGGTGTGAGATGTCATCGAGAGGAAAGTACACCTTTGGCGCGACTAGTTCCGGGCACACTATCAATTCCGTTCATTTTCTTTCTTTACATCTCCGCCACACGGGATCTTTTGCCTCCTTGGACGAAGGGGATACCAGCAACAGCAGAGGTCTCAATCCCGCACTCGTTAGTGCCCCGAACAATCCGAAAGTAACCCTTCTCGCCCCATTCCGTGTTCCAAGAGTTGGCCACCGTCCAGAAATCGACCCCGTTCTCCACACCCCAGCCCACGAGCTTGACGGCATGGCCCCCCATGTAGTCCCCGTACAAGTGCTGGTAAACGCCCGACGTGTAGTGCGCGAAGTCCTCGTAGACATTGAACGAAAGCTCGATCGGCCCGTTCGTGTAGAGCTCCAGCTTCAGAGCCTCGGGATCCGACGGCAGGTAGTAGGCGCTGGTGGCGAAGTGCTTGTTCTCCGCCCACAGATCGTCGTTCACACAGGCCTTGTTGCACACCGGGGTGTCGTACACGGGCGAGCAGCCCGGGTGGCCACAGCCCACGTTGTCGAAATAGGGATCGCAGGTTGCCGAGACCACGCCCGTGCGCTTGAAGTACTGCCATGCTCGAAAAGGGTATCCTCCCTCGCATCCATAACCGCACTCGAATCCGCAGCACGAGAGCAGATCGTTCTCCGACAGGGTTACGTTCTCGAAGCCGTGGATGCAGAAGCGGTCTGACAGCGACTCCACAGCTCCGAAAGCCCAGCACGACCCGCAGTGGCCTTGATCGAGTATCTCGCTGATAGTCCTGCAATGGGGCCAAGCTTCTCGGGCATCGAAGCTCTCAGGGAGGTCTGCCGGGGAGATGGTTCGGCCGCGAGCATCGTTGCGACCCGGCTCCAGAACGGGGAATGAGGAGGAATCCAGGTCCGGGACGGGGGTCATGATCGTTCCACACAGGCGCTTGAAATCCTTCACAGTGTGCTTCTCCAATCGAGAATTCAACGCCGCCTTCCATGTCGCACGCTTGTCTGCGTTCACGCGATCCACCATTGACCTCTGCAAAATCGGCCTCGTCTCCTCCAGCAGCAGCTGCTCCTCCGCGGACAGCAATTCCGCCCTTCCTGCCTCTGCGACGACCCCCAAACTCACAAGCACCACCACGACCAGCCTTGCCAGCACCAGACCCTCATTCGTGTGCCGCCCCATCGTCACTCTTCCTCGATCCTCTGTCCCTGCTTCTCCTCCTCCTCCCCTTCCCTTCCTCTCGTTCCGATCCCTACCCTTTCTATTCAACTTCTCCTCCCGATGCCTCTTATGCCTTGCCTCCCTCGGGCCCCTGTCTTCTTGCTCTCCTTACACGCCGAGCTCAACCCTTCGCCTGCTCGTCCTTCGTTCCGTCCCGATGAACCGCTGAATCTTTCCTGCTCTCCGCAGGGGTCCACGGCGACTTCACTTCACCGTCACTAGGGTTAGCCTACCTATCCTGCATCGTTACCGCGGTAAGCGGCTGCCACGGGGTGAGGACAAACAGGGGAATCTACGAGGTGTGGAGGCTCTTGGGGCCATCCGATGGCTTGCTCGGGCGTGAAATCGGCCTTGGGTTGGGGATTCTTATTTCACCTTATCTTCTTGTTACCGCCGGAGACACTCGGTGGACGTGGTAGCTGGAGTAGGGGCCTGGAAAAGTGAGAAAATAGTCCAATGATGTGGAAAGAGAAAACGCTGGGCGGTGTCCGGCTGCGGAGGCGCAGGTTTACCGCACCGAACAAAAGTCTCGGAATGTTAAGACTGGAAAGGCTGTTCCCAACACGAAGTGTCAAAACGTCGATGGTCGGTTTCAGAGACAAACGGATGAACTGATTGAAGAAGGCCGTATACCTCCGCGAGAGTCATTCATTACTGTGGCAGCTGTTTGCAGCGCCGGAGCGACTGGACGTTCTGTTCCGTTCGAGGATGGTCCTGGGTCTTGTCTTTTCGGAATCCTTTCAAGGGAAAGCTCAACTTTGCATGGGAATATAAAGAAGGTCAAAGCTCTGTCTCTCCCTCTCTCCCTCCCTATCGAGTATTGAGGGTCTAGTGCAGACGAATGGAAAACCACCTCCAAAGAAGCTGATCAAAGCTTCTGGAGGTTTGGAGCACGGTCAACGTGCAAATCTGCTGGACGGAAGTAATCCAAATCCGGCCACCGGCTTGCAGGAGATTGATGAGAATGTTGAATATCATCACCCGTGGACTCATAGCTACAGCATCGATCTCAATCGCCAACGTTTAAGTCATTGTGTAGCAATGCAGATATTTGTTTAGATGATCGAAATCTCTGTACATGCATAAGTGCAGACTGATGAGGGGGGATAGGAAAGTAAATAGGAAAAGGGATGGGAAAACCCATCAAGCCGTATAGGGATAAACTAAACGCGTAACCTGGGGCCAGTGCAGACGCTTTTTAACCATATCTTATCACTGGCCGGACGTCAAGTTTTTTTTTCTCGTTACAGCCGGTCTAAGTTTAGGACTCAGGAGCACACCAAAGAGCACACCAAAGTGTGCCAGATTACTTTTCCACTTTCTTCAAGTGTTGTTTGACCTTTAGTATTCCCATCTTGGTACACTTTTGGTAAGCAAGATTGCCTTTGTTCCAGACTGTATTATGGCCTTAATTTGACATTCAGCTAAACATTACTCACTTTCCTCCGGATGAGGGTCGTGAAATTTGGATTATATTCGCAAGGAAAAAGAAAATTGTACGTCCAATTAAATAGTGCCTGAAAATCTCAGATCAGAAGACGATATGCCACTGGAGCGGAAGATTACTGAAATGCTCGTTATCCATTGGAAGTAGACAATATACCATTTGAAATAAGCTAAATCTTTGGCTATACTTTTCTAATGATCCTGAAGAGATTGCTCACCTGCTAAATCTTTTGAATCTGTACAATCACCGACCAAGGTATGAAAACGGGGTTGTACTTTATCTCATTCATTATAAAAGAAACTGAATTTGTGATCAGAACAATATAGAAATAATATCACAAATGTGACAACGCACATACAACCCATAGATTATGCCTGTTCCTCCCTACAAATGATTTCAACCTTATACATCCTACTCTACATGGAAGCAGTTGCTTTGTTGAAATTACAAATGTTATGTAGATAAATTTTTAAATAAAAAAAGAGACATAGATTTGTCTATCTAATTAACACCAGTACCTTTTGGTTAATTAGCAGATATAATTATTATTTATATATTAAACTTTATATCATATAATAGTAATATTGTGAAAATTCCGTACAATAACGAGGAAAAAGCAACTACTAAGAGGTATGATTATTCTATCCTCTCCATATGCTTTCACTCTAAATCAAGATGATCAAATTACCATGTGCAAATACCTTGTTCGGAACGTTATTCTTGCATCCAATATTGTACCGACATATTCAAACTCATGGTCATTTCCATGTTTTTTTCCTGTTTATGTGCGAAATGACTACAAAATTTCTACGATAACTCATCAGCATTCACTTTGGTTCTGGTAAGGCCTCCCTTACAAATAGCTTATGAATTCTTTCTTTATGTTTTGTATGAACTCCTTCAACAGCCCTCATAGATGGCACATTCACGTAATAAACTACATGTTGGGAAGTGAATAGCTCTCGCCCCATGCATTGTTTCAATCTAGCGTGACAAACATCTGCAACATCCGGAAGTGTTTTCTTTTTCATTTTTTGCCACATATCAGAAACATCTTTCTTAGCATTTACGTTGTCGCATGGAAAAGACAGCGTGACTTTTAAAAATACATTTTAGTCGGAATATATTAACTGTATTACAACTAATGTATATGATGAAGGAATTTGTCAAAGACTTTGGACATGTAGAAATCCTAAAATGTCAAGTGGTATAAGTGCATGATAATTTCCTTTTACGGAGATTCTGAGAAGTCTCTGAGTTTCAAGTTGTAAGATCACTTTTGCCAGTACCGCTTTTGACAGATGAAAGAGGTCTACTGGATGAACATGAAGCCTCTTATTGCTTCAACATTCATGGTGGATGGCATTGGCACTGACATTGCCCGCATTTACATCTTTAATCATTCGATTGTCTATCTACCTTTTTAATCTGTTCAGCAATCCTTGCTCGTACCTACACCTGGCGTAAGCGTCAAATATAAAAAAACATCCCGAAAAGATGAACGGCAGTTTGTCAATGGCAAGAATGATAAGCGTTTCGTACTTTTCTAAAATATCATGCTAGAAAAAGCTGTTGTGACCTGAAAGTGAGGTTTCCACACCTCGTTAGTTAATGGAGAAAAGGAAGGGCCCAATAATTAGCATAAGTTCCCATCAAGTACATGCATGGAATGAAACAGGAAACAGGGGTTGTGCAACACTAGAATCATTAATCTATCCCAAAACTTTGCAACCAGACGCTAAGGTACCTCAGACATCTACGAATTCTAGAAAGTTAGGAAAGAAATTTCTATGTGCTACAACAGTCGGACATATACGAAACCTGAGAACTTTTTTAAAAAATGTACGGTACGAATACATATTTTCTCTAGTTTATATTCGAATAACTTACAATATTTTTCATAAATGAATAAAAAATAAATTTATAAAAGATAAGCATCTCAGAAAACAAAAATGTCTTGCAATATAATTTACATTTTGAAGAATTATCAAGAATTCAAATGTGGATTAGATATCATAAGTACGAAGCCGACTCTTGATTTGTGTGATCCATATGCACTCATCATGCGATATAGTCCAATTCCATGTTCGTAACTTCTACATTCCCAATTTTATACCATAAATATTAAGATGTAACATTTTTACCATTGTAAAAGAAAAAGAAAAAAATCTTATATCTGTATATGAAATGATATAAAACATAAAGATTAAATTTCCTATCATATATCTAGATCACATGTCTTTTTGTAATAAAAATTTCATCTGGTTTTTCCATGAAGCACTGTTGTTGTGTGATAAAAGTGACATGATATGAAAAAAGATTAACCATCTTCAAATTTATGATATTATGATTGAGATTTGAAATAAAATACGTGAGGTATCATTGCAAGGTAATTAGAAGCTCAATTTCTGATTATATCTTGATAAGGAAGAAAATGATAATTTATTTTCAAAAATTCAAATATCGATAATTGATGAAATATATATTATAACGAAAAAAATAAAAAATAAAAAAGATCACTAAAGCTCTAATTTATAAATTTTTGTGACGAACTCTTGTAAAATTTGAAGGTGATCAAAGTTATGATTATGACATAATAAAATTGAGTATACTAAATTTGCATAAAATGTACATATTTGATTGAAAAATTCTTCCAATATACTCTTATATATATTTACTAATGAAATAAAATAAAATAATTAAAATTAAATGAAATACATTATGTCATCAATTATACTATCATGGAAATACATTCAAATATATATTTTTTTACAAGAAAAAAAGAAAAAAAATTTCCGCATGAGGTTAAAAAAATCCTATCACTTATCATGATCTTGTGCATTTATGGGATTATGCACAAAGTGAGCTTATGACATAGACTTGATCATGCATAAGTTAAAAAACTAGAAAATACAAGCCTTAAATTAAATTGAATTAGTTCTATAAAGTTCCAAACAGAAATCTCAAAATATTAATTAAAATAATTCAATTAATATAAAAAATGAAAGATTTGGATAAAATGTTTCCCTTCACATGCTTATGCCAGGTTTTTCCATGATATTTTTTTGTGTCTTTTTCTCTGAAATGGAACTTTCGATGTCTTTAAGTAACATTTTTTTATACAACTCACATGTTGTATTGTTTCAAATTGAACTGCAGAGTGAAGTTAAGGTTATAACTAGAAAAGAAACATTGAAAGAAATACATGTATCTCTTTTCAATTCCTAATAACAACCTCATGTCATCCCCTTTTACATAAGAAGATAAATACTACAGAGCCTTTAGATCAAACGACATTTATAGTTTTTTCCTATAGTATTATCTTCAGGATTCCTTTTTAGGGTTTCAATAGAACTAACGCAGGGAAAAAGGAATGTTTGAAAGTATGTAACCTTACTCATCTTTCTCATCATAGTCAAGTGAAGACCCAACATCTTTAATATCTTTTAGATAAAGTAGATTATGCAAACAAACTCTAGATAACTAAAAGAATTGGATGACGAATGTCAACTTTCTGGAAGAATCAGCCTCCAAATGTCTGAAAATATCTCTATTTGCCTATGAACGCAGTCCATTCTCTCGTCGTCACTTCGTTTACCAGATGAAGTAGAGACAATTGAAGTAACACGGAAGGTAATTCACCCTTTGTGGTGTGGCTGCGTTCAGAAACCAGATTATATGGGAGGTTTCGAAACACTCATGCGATGATGTTCTCTACGGAG